AGCAGCAGCTGCAGTAGCATTGACAATAGCAGTAGTAGTAGTAGTAGTTGTAGTAGTAGTAGTAGTAGTAGTAGTAGTAGTAGTAGTAATACTTGTAGTACTATTATGAGTAGTAGTAGCAGTAGTAGAAGTATACATAACAGTAGAAGTACTAGTAGTAGTATCATAGTAGTAGTAAGTAAGTAAGTAGTAGTAAGTAGTAGTGTAAAGAGGTAATAGTGTAGTAGTAGTAGGAGTAGTAGTAGTAATAGTAATAGTATAGTAGTAGTTATAAGTAGTAGCAGCAGTAAGTAGTAGTAGTAGTAGTAGTAGTAGTGTGTGTAGTGGTAGTGGTAGTGGTAGCCGTAGTAGTAGTAGTAGTAGTAGTAGTAGTAGTAGTAGTAGTAGTAGTAGTAGTAGTAGTAGTAGTAGTAGTAGTAGTAGTAGTGGTAGTAGTAGTAGTAGTAATAGTATCAGTAGTAGTCGTAGTAGTAGTAGTAGTAGTAGTAGTAGTAGTAGTAGTAGTAGTAGTAGTAGTAGTAATAGTAGTAGTAGTAGTAGTAGTAGTAATAATAGTAGTAGTAGTAGTAGTCGTAGTAGTAGTACTAGTAGTACTAGTAGTATTAGTAATTCCTCACCACTCAGACTCAATCACGATACTCAGAATCACTCGCGCACATCGAGTGTGAGTGTGTCTGCCGAGCGAGGCGCCCGTTTCAGCACCCCAACGGGGAGCCGCCTGGCGGTGCTGCACGGGTCTGTTCGAGCCCAGTTTGTGGGGAGGTCGCCAGCGGTTTGCCCGTCTCGGTGCTCCACATCCTTTGCTATGAAAGCAAAGTGTGAGCATGTCGGGGGCGAAGCGCTGGTTTCAGCACTCACAGGGGAAGCCGCCACGGGACATTGCACGGGCCCAGTCGCGCCCAGATTGTGGGGATGTCTCAAGCGGTGTGCCAGTTGGGGCGCTCAACATCGTTGCTGCCACAGCAGATTGTCGGGATGTCTCAGGCGAGGCGCTGGTTTCAGCATTCCAAGGGTGAGCCAGCAGCGGGTATTGCACGGGCCCGTTCGCTCCCTGAGCGCGGGGATGTCTCAAGCGGTTGGCCTGCCTGGGTGCTGAACATCATGACACTGAACATCGTTTGCTTGCAGAGCAGGTTTTGAGGACGTGTCAGGCGAAACGCTAGTTTCATCACACCACGGGTGGGCCGCCAGAGGGGTATTGCACGGGCCCGTTTGCGCCCATACTGTGAGAATTCCTCAGGCGTTTTGCCTGTTTCGGCTCCCCAAGCGTATCTGTGGACTTGTGTTACCTAGACGGGACCTCACTCGTTCACTCACCTCCCCCTCCTCCTCAGTCAACCGCGTTCACACCCAGTGTTACTCATCAGTACCTTTCCTTCGCTCAAACTCACTCATCACACTCAGACTCAACCATACTCAGGCTCACTCACTGTCAGACTCACTTATGCCCAAACTCACTCGTATTCAGACACACTCGTAGTCAGACTCAGAGTCATTATACTCATACTCAGACTAACCCACCCTCAGACTTACTCACATCCAGGCTCAGTCACACTGAGACTCACCCACTTCCAGAACCACTCGTAGTCAGACCTACGCAGACGCAAACTCCTACTCAACAACTCATTCTCAGACCCACTCTCACTCAGACTTACCCACACTCAGACTCACTCTCGCTGGGACTCACTCATACTCATACCTACGCATACTCAGACTCACTCGTACGCAGACTTTCTCATACCTAGACTCACTCACACGACTATGCACACTCAACCAATACCCGGGGTCTCCCACTCTCAGTCTAACTCAAACTCAGACCATTCACGCTCATATTCAATCAGTCTTCTCTCTTCTGGTTGTTCAATGCTCCCTCGCTCTTCTACTTGTGCTAACCTCATCTCTCTTGCCCGATGCCCAGAGGAGGAGGAGGAGAAGGAGGAGGAGGACGCCACTGAAGTCGTCGCTGTCGCCGTCATCGTTGTCACGCCCGTCGTCCGTCGTCCACGCAGACTCACTCTCACACCCAACACACTCAGGGTTCGTCAGCGAGACTTGTCAGGAGTATGAGATGCACATATGTGGATCCCCGCGGCAAGTAATTACTTATCCTGGAAACTTTCCCGCTAGCTCTCAGAGAAGCTCTTTGTCACAGGGCAGCGTCTTCCCTTGCAGAGTTGGAGGAGGATTTCTTCCTCCCATTCCTCCTCGTCGGGCCGTGAATGTCGTCTCTCCTCCACGTCCTTCCCCACTGCCTCCTTCTTCCTCCTCTCTCCCTCCTCGCTCCTCCTACTCCTGCCACTCCTTCCAGTCATGCTGCTTCTCCTCATCCTCTCATCCACCTCCCCCGCCTCCCGCCTCCCCCTCCTCCTGCCTCCCGCCTCCCGCCTCCCGCTTCCCGCCTCCTCCTCCTCCTCCTCCATCGCCTCCGCCTCCGCCTCCTCCTCCGCCTCCTCCTCCTCCTCCTGCCCATCCTCCTCCTCCTCCTCCTCCTCCTCCTCCTCCTCCTCCTCCTCCTCCTCCTCCTCCTCCTCCTCCTCCCCTCCTCCTCTGCTCTCCTCCTCCTCCTCCTCCTCCTCCTCCTCCTCCTCCTCCTTCCCTCCTCCTCCTCCTCCTCCTCCTCCTCCTCCTCCTTCTCCATATGGGTGCCCGCGCCGCTGCAGCCGTGGGAGAGGAGGCGATGCGCGGCCCAACAGTGGCAAAAAACTGGCCGCCTCGACTTTTGTTCGAGCCGCCAGCTGCCTGGGAGGCCCCGGAGCGCGCCGTCGGGAGCCCCCTGCCGGTGCGCGCCTCAGCGCCCCCCGCCCTTGCCACCGCCGCCGCGGCCACCGCCGCCGCGCCCCCTGCCGCGGCCCCTGGCGGCCGCCGCGCCCGACGGGTCGTCGTCGTCGTCGTCGTCGTCGTCGTCGTCGTCGTCGTCGTCGTCGTCGTCGTCGTCGTCGTCGTCGTCGTCAACGTCGTCTGTCGTCGGGGACCTCCGTCGAGGGATGAGAACGAACACCTGTTTTGGAACTGCATTTCCCAGGAATGGGCCCGTGATAGAACCCCTGCCGGTTCCTCTTTTTGGGGTTCCCAAATTAGATGCATGCTGCGTCGCGCAATCTCAAGCCATACACATCTCAAACCACACGCGTACAAATCCGCCGATCCGGCGTGTGAGTTTCAAGGAGTCTCAGCTACAGCCTCGAGGCTGAGCCTCAGCCTCTGGGGGGGTTGCCGGGGTGGCTCTGCCGGGGAAGGGGGGGTGGGGGGGGGGGGGGGTGCGAGTTTCCGGCGGATGCGTTTTTTGACACCCCTCACAAGGATCGTGGCCTCCGAGGGGGTTCCGAACTCGAGTACCACCCCTCCCGCACCAAGAGGCTCCGAGGAGGCCTCCAAGAGGCCCCAAGGGGCGCAGAAGAGGCCCCCAAGAAGCCCCAAGAGGCTCCCAAGAGACCCCCAAGAGGCCCTCTAGTGGCCCCAAGAGGCCCAAGAGGCCCCCAAGAAGCCCCAAGAGGCGCCCAAGAGGCCCCCAGAAGTCCCAGCCAACCACGAGATCCCAATCAGCATCCATGAGGCCTCTGACCCACCAACCACGCACGATGGCGGGATAGGCCGACGGCCACTGGATAAATGCTGAGTGAGAGGAGGGGAGGGAAAAAGAGAGGAGGGACGAGGGCGAAGAAGGATCACGTCAGTCGGAGCGCCCCGGATCGGCGGCACTGGCCGAAGGCCACTACAATATCAGCTAAAACACTTGCTACTCCCATATGGGCTCTGCACAATCCGGGAACTGACATCTATGCAGACCTCGTGTGGTACCAATACACATATACACATGAACACTGCACACTTGTTATTCGAACACCATGCAAGTACAAGTCTAACACTATACAATTCTCGGGGAAGTACGGATCTCATATGGACCCAAACCAATTACGGTGTGACAGCTTCTACGATTCCCCAGCGCAAACTCATCATGTTTCATTTGCATGCCATAAGAAGCCGATCACACATCTCAAGTGAACACTGTACAACTTTCATCACAACGCGGCCCTAGTCAACTCGCATACAACAGACTGACAGCTCCCAGCTGGCAGCTGTAAAGTCCCCGCGCGAGAAATTGCAGCATAACATGTGAATAGTGGACTGGCATTGCGCCAGAATTCGAGAAACTTCAAACTCTCACATGACATCTACACTTCCCATGTAAAATCTGTACGCATGTACAATGAGTACATTGTGATGGCACATGCTAACCCTAGGTACCCTATGAATGATGCGCACTGTTTACCAGTTGACAGTTGGACCTCAACTACTCTCTGATGGTTATCTGCATTTCACGTGTGTGTTGCAATCTGATGGCGTATACACACCTGTCCGAACCAACGCATACAACATCCATACGAAACACGCATTCACTGGACGCCATTCGACAGGTGTCGTACGAAACTGTGAACACTTCTCATACGAAAACCATCGAGTCCCAGTGCGACCATGGATCGCTGAGCAATTAGAACGCTGCACAACTCCCAAACGGAACGGGTTAGGACGGTACCAACTCAAACTCTGGCACTCCTGCTGCCTCCCAGAACACATGTTCACATGTCAAAATTGCATGTGAATTGTGGAATGTACTGTAACGCTCCACAATGAGAACCCTGTAGCACAGCTTACGGAGGCCGTTTGCGACTGGTACTAATCGGCTTTGCGGCCAATTGAAAATTTGTCTGATCGGTTGGAATTTGAACGAACGGGTTGCGGCTGGTCCGTCATGCTGTTCGTACCCCCCGCCCGACTTCCTCCCAGCGTGCTGAAAAGACGTGTTGTCAAATATGTGTAGCACTTGCGATAGTAAAAGTGTGCAGACGCGGTTCTCAAATGCTGGGGCTATCAGAAGCGGTGCTGGGAAAAATGTTGGAAAGTATGGCGCGCACTTCACTTGCTGAAAAGTCAAGACGTCTGGGGTTTGGACATGTGGAGCAGCACGACACCACGCACTGGCAACACGTGCGGAGGGCCAGTGTATACGGCCATGGATGTGCAAAGCGCCGAAGCAACATCTAACCACACGTGCAACCAACTCTCGCCCAAACTGGCCGCGCCGTGCGTATTCCGCTGTCTGGTATGGGACGCACAAAGGCATACTAGTATCATAGGTTATCCTTGGAGGCGCGCGTTCGACCCGAGCATATAGTATACCCATCTTGTAGTATATCGTTTCCCGAGCGGTGTGGCCAGGAAGCGACCGCCTTGACGCATATACTAAAAGATTTCTCGGTGCGCGCGTCGCCCCTGGGGGGGGGGGGGCGACGCACACATAGTACCATTAGTATGTTGGGGTGACGCTGATGGTATGTGCCTGCAGACGCGTCCACGCGGACGCACGGCTTAGCGGCGGTGGTGTGCCTGCCCATGTACGTGTGGCATCTTGCGAGTGCCCACGCTGCCCGACTTCGCACTTGCGCGATGATCTGCGCGCCCGCGCGCCGCCCCGGGAAAGCAGCCCGGACCACGAGCCGCGGTCACCTTTGCACCCCGGCGGGCGACCCACAAGACGCAGGGGGGAAGGACAACTGGGATCGGGAGCGGCGCGGGGCGCACACTCCCGTCGTCAGCGAGACTGGGAGGGAAGGTGACCTCCTACCCCTAAAAGCGCAACGCGTCGTCAACGCGTCGTCAAATCTTTCGGGCGATCTCGAATCAACGCGCCACCGTCGTCATGTCTGAAGCAATCATGCACCGTGTGCCTGCGAACGCCTTCCCGTGGCGACGTCGCAAATGCAACACTGCAAGCGTCTCGTATGTATTCGAACATTACCGCTTACATCTGCTGTGGGCGAATCAATCACCATGACCGCCGCTTACCGCGTAACAAGCGTAACAACAGTAGAACTGTCAACTCGATGAAGTATTCCCTTTCGTGGCAGTGGCTGACACATTCATGTAGCGTAAAACATGATACGCCATATGTGCAGATCATGCGAACAGCTCGCCATGACAACATAAGAAAAAACTCCTGAAGCTTCCAATCGGATACTTCGGCGGATTCTGCTTGGGAGCGTCATCGATGAGCAAGTAGTTCAGATCTGCATGATCTGGGAGGATGAAATACCGAATGTTGGCCTGGCGACTGCTAAATCAGGGTGACGCCCATGCAAACGCTTTCCATGCCATCGGGGCAAACCAATCAACATGCATCCACCACGGCTTTGAAATGCGAATATGTATATCCAAGCTGGAAGATAAACACCAAGCGTTACAACCAATTGTACCGGTAAAGACTGCCTCAGAAAGCTTACAATTTCCAGAAATATACCAAACAACACCTAGGTTCGCAACGCGGTCATGTTGCCTGCTCCACGCTGTGCTCTTCGGCGCTCCACAGAGCGTCCCAAGACGGGCCCCGATATAGCCAAATAGCGGCCCAAAACGGCTGCAATGTGACCCAAGACGGGTCAGACACGGCCTCAAGATCTTCCAGAGGCCCCAAGATGTCCCCATGAAACCCTCAGGTGCTCCAAGAAGCGCCCGAGAGACCATCAAGGAGCACTCTGGCATGGCCCAGTGTGCAGCAAACGCCAAAACGCCCTTCGGGATCTTGAATTCATTCGTTTCGTACCAAAGAACTGATAACTCCCTTCCCCGAATGCTGCTGTGCTCAAGCATGCCTGACCACACCAACAAGCACACACAAAATGTTCTGTGGTTGCAACTTCGACTCAAAGACTTCAAGACATGCCAGTCAGGGTGCCCCGCGAATGGAGAGGTACTGCATGTTGACAGGGTTCTTGTTCCTCGCAGGAGGGGGGGGCCCGGAGAATGCCGCCATCTGTTGACCGTGCCATGGCACTTGAACAGACGTGAACGATGCCTGGAAATTATGAAGAGCAAGGCCGGTCATGCCACGTCTTTGTGACCCCCCCTATCCCCATCTCCTCCCCCTGTACAAAATCCTTTTCTCTCCCGCCATTCACTCTCCTACGGCTTCCTCTCGCTCCTCCCCAACACCCGTCGCTCCATGCGTAGACCGTAAATTTCCCGCACCACGTCACACACCGTGCCGCTAATTGCGCTTCCTGCGAACGCGAGTGACTAGCAGCTGGCCGCAGAGGACATACAGTCAAGCCGAAAAGCACCGTGACGTGTACTTCTGCAATGCACGGCGTTTTGTACACGAGGCGTGTATCACAGCGTCCGAAGCACATTCGCGCACACAACCTCCCACCACTAACGTGCTCAACAACTGCTGACGGACTTTGCCTCCACACCCGAAGCCCACTAAAAGACTCTGCGCAAGCAAGCTCCCCAGGGAAATCCACAACGACGAGGGAGGCGGGAGGACGTCGATGGCGCCGCCGCCTTCCCCCCTCCCTCCCTCCTCCCTCCTTCCTCCTCCTCCTCCTCCCTCCTCTTTTCTCCTACTCGGGCCCTCGCCCCGGCGTGCGCTTGGTCTTCGTGGTCCAGCCTCCTCCCACCTCCTCCTCCTCCTTCTCATCCTCCCTCCCTCCCTCCATTCCTCTCTCCCTCCTTTCTTGTCGTCGTCCTCCTCCTCCTCCTCGGACCCTCGGTCTTCGTGGTCCTTCGTTCGATCTTTCGATCGTCGAGCCCCCTTCCTCCCTTCTTCGCAGACTGCGGCCTACGCAGCCAACACCAACACTTGCAGCCTGGATCCTCATCCTCTTTCTCCTAGTGGCGCAGCCTCACTGTGACCTTCACCTGCTTGAGGTGAGTGTTCATGGACGCATCCACTCCAGTGATGGTGCCCTGGCCCAGGCGCTGTAAACAAATTAGCGAGCGCGCGCAGGCGGGTAAATAAAAGGGCCAGCGCGCCCAGAATCGCACATAAGTCCTCTGTAACGGGCATGGAGAGTAAGCGGGGGAGGGGGGAAAAGGCGTGGCGACGACGACGGTGACAAAACCGACGACGGCGACGACGACGACGAGGGGCGATACATACAATGGCGACGACGGACGGACACGACGACCGTCTCTCAATGGGCACAACTGCGCTCGAGGTGGGCTAGCTCTGCCCCCCTCCCCCCCGCCCCCGCCACCTCCTCATTCTCCAACCACCCCTTCCTGCTCGCCAACCTCCGCTGTTCCTCCTCATGCTTCTCTTTCCTTTCTTCCCTCACCAATTTCTCTCCCCGTGCTGCTGCTGCTGCTGCTGCTGCTGCGCCTCCACCACATAACTCCTGACACCTCATCCTCCTCCTGATCCTGACTCCTCCCCCTACTCCTCTGGACGCCCCCTCCTCCTGAGTCACCCTCCTGACTCGTCCTCTTTCCCCGCCTCATCCGCCGGCTCGTTCCTCCTCGTCTCCCTCCCGCTCCTACTGCTTCTGCTGTTCCTCCTCGTCCTCCTCATCGCCTCCCCCTCCTCCTCCTTCTCCTCCTCCTCCTCCTGTTCCTCCTCGGTCTTCACTCCTTTCTCCTCCTTCTCCTCCCTTCTCCTCCTCCTCCTCCTCATCCATCTCCCCCATCCTGTTCGTCGCCCTGCCTATCCACCCCCTTTCTTCAGGGCCAACTCCTCCCCGTCGCCGCCCCCGGTCGCGTCGGCAAGGTGGGCCCGGCGTGTCGCCCGAGACTGCCCCAACCAATGATGACCCCGAAGCTTGACACGTGCAACGGCTTCACGGGTGGAGGGCGGCACCGTCGTCTTTGCACGTTGCAGCAGTGTTGCGGGCGGAAGGGCGGCTCCTCTTCAGCACGTGGATCTGCGCTGCGAAGTCCCAGACATGTCGTTGACTTAGGACTGTCGGGGTACGACAGCCACGCTGATTCGCGGCGTTGAGAACACAGGAATGAAGTCTTGGCACGAGTCAGGATGCTCAGACGGCTGCCTTGCAATGGTGCATTCCCCGCAGCGAGCATAAGTTCACGCAGGGACCTACGAATAATAAACTTTGAAGGAAAGTTAAGCGAAACATCAATGATGCGTATTGGGTTCACGCTGGCCCTCCCTGCTCCCCCTCCTTCTCCGTCATCTTCAACGTCCTGCTTCTGCACGGTTTCCCCTGGGGCCGTAGGCGACCCGAAGAAGAGGAGGAGGAGGAGGAGGAGGAGGAGGAGGAGGAGGAGGAAGATGAGGAGGTGGAGGGGGAGGAAAAGATGGATGAGGAGGAGGGAGGAGGGAAGAGACGGTGGAGGAGGAGGAGGAGGAGGAGGAGGAGGAGGAGGACGGGTCGCCTAAACCCTTCGGAGAGACCCTCCACCTGCTTCCCCTCTTCCTCCTCGACCCTCTCCCTCCAACCGCCTCGCAGCAGCATGAACACGATACCTTCTGATGGCCGAGCTGGTGCTGGTGCGTGAAAAGGCGCATGGCAGGAGCATGACGAGGAAAGGACAACGAGGACCAGGAACACTGGCGCGAGCAAGCGGACGAGGGCAAATTCGAAGATGACCAGGCTCGAGACTCGAGCCGAAGACCTCCTCCTCGTCATCGGGCGTCTTCTCTTTGCGAAGCGGACGTCTTTGGGGGTGGGAAAACGCGACGCACCCATCCGGGGCACCCCGATGTACGTTATTGCCCTCCCCGTGTGGACACGACGCGGACGACAAAGCAGACGACGATGTCAAGGCACCCAGCCAGCGTGCACCCCGACCAGATGGGTGACCGAACGCGCGTGATCGCCTAACAGCGGACCCTCAGGCGCGGCAAAGGTGCGTCACCTCCCCCCCCCCGCCCTGTGCGGGCACGAAGCGGACGACGACGAACACGACGACGACGACGACGGCCGCGTCGACGACGAGTTTGCTCTCAACAGCTCCACGTATACATCCGCGCACCCAATGTATACAAGTACAACAGCACGCTGGACCCTACACATCTCGCAAGAGCCTGCGGGCACCATACTATGCCTGCGAGCGCGAGCAATGCGCCTGTGAGACTGAGAGCACCACACAATGCCTGCGAGCACTTGCACGGTGCCTGTGAGTACCAGCAGCCTGCGAGCACCATCGCAATGCCTGTGACCAACAGAATGAGCACCACACTTGCCTGGGAGAAGGCGGATGAGACGGATGGAGGGAGAGATGGAGGAGAGGCGGGAACGATGGAGGAGGATGCGGCTGAACAGCCGAACGCCCATCCGATAGGGTTGACTGCACTTCTAGTGCTTGTCCTCGAATGAGGCCCTGGTGCCCCTCGGTCGACGGAGGGAGGGGGAGGGAGGGACGACGGATTAGAGGCCTCCTAGATGAGGTCCGAGTAGATGGGGTCGGAGGATCACACCGCATCGCCGATGCATCTCCGATGCATCAGCGATACATCGCCGATGCTGGCGGTGCATCGGCGACGCCAGCGGATCAAATCAAGCTTCACATCGAGCCGCATGGGCGATGCATCGACGATGCGGCGCTATCCTCCGACCCCATCTACTCGGACCCCATTTGAGAGGCACAGACGGATGGAGGAGGCGGGGAGAACGGAGAGTTGATGACCCTTATGGTGCCGACTCGTGCTCGAGCCCCCCTCGATGTGCCAGCGCGCAGCACAAAGCTCTTGCGTAGACCTCACGGCGAAGGACATAAATCTTGCCAATACCAAAGACGACTGCGACCACCACGTGCATACACAACAACGCGCCCGTCCACGCCAGTGCCCCGCAAGCGCGTGCCTGCGAGCACCAATTGTGCGCCTGTGGGCACAACACTAGTCTGCGAGCTCCACAACATGCCCGTGAGCACCACGGCGTCCCTGCGAGCGCCACGCCTGCGAGCGCTACGCCACGTTAGCCCGCGACTGCTACAACATGCATGTGGACACCACATTGGGCCTGCGAACGTTACAACAGCGCACCAGCGTGTGTTGTGCCCCGCTGTGATGTAATATGTTATGTTATGCTGCGTCGTGATGTGCTTATGTTTCCTGCTGTACAGTGCTATTCAGCGGTCTGATGTCATGAAGTACGCATTTCAACATTGATAAGGGTATACATTTCCAACACTCCTCCCTCTCTTCATCCCCGCCTCCTCCCAATCCGTATCCCTTCGCTTCCTCCTTCCTCCTCTCTCCCTCTTCTGTTTCCCCCTCTTCTTCCTCGTCCTCCGCCCTCTCAATCCTCTTCCTCCTGCCTCCTGCTCCTCTCCTGCTCCCTCCTCTCTCATGTTCCTCTCCATCTTCCAAGCCTCCTTCCCGCTCTTCCGCATCGTTCCTTTTCTTCGGAGGTGGCGATGCGGCGCCTCGCTTCAACCGCTCGCACTCCGCCAAGCGGCTGCCGCACTGGGCGAACACATGTGGAAACACGTGCCAAACGCACGCGTGACAGAAACATGTTGGCTACCCTTCCTTCCGCGGACGCACTTTGACGTGTGAAGAAGCCGCCAACCCAATGCTGGATACCTTCCCAGAGGGCCTGCGCACGTTCTCACGTGCCAAACGTTCGTGTGCTAGATCCATGTTAGATACTACCGCTCGGCATCTTAGTCTTACCTATGCAACAACTGACGTGCGATTGCATAGGTAAGAACGCGTTCTGATGCCACCACTCGGGCATGTGCAAAAGCAGACAACCGCATGTTGCCCCCCGCCCCTCCCGTGGCACAACTCATGCCAAATGCACACGTGCCAGGCGCATGTTCCACACACCCAGTTCACGCACCTACCTTCATGTGTGCAAAATCCGCTGGGCGCATGTTGGACACCCCACTGGAGGCCTTAACTAATGAAAGCACGTGACAGATGCAAACGTGCCAGACGCATGTTCCACACACCCTGCGGGCAACGTTCTTACATGTGCAGGATCCGCCAGCCGCATTTTGGACCCCCCCCCCTGGGGGGGCCTCACAAGTGAAAACACGTGCCAGCTGCAAGCGTGCCAAACGCATCTTCGCATGTTCTACACACCTCTCCACGGACATACAGTTCTAGGAGGACTGCACGCGCAGAAAAAATCCAAACGGACGCGTGACAAACGCCCCTCTTCGCGGACCCGCTGGCCGCATGTTGGATATCCCCTTGGCACATACACGTGTGAAAGCACGTGCCCACCGCACGCGTGCCGAACGCATGCTGGATACCTTCTCCGCCGACGTATTTTTGCGCGTGGAGCGTCCGCCGGCCATACGTCGGGCACTCATTGGGGCCTACATGCGCCAACGCACGTGCGTATCTATGCGTGCCAGTCCAATGTTGGACGTCATCCTTCGCGTACGAATTGTTGCATGTGAAGGGCCGTAAAGATTCCATGGGTGGGCCCCAGGAAGGTCCCCCAAACGAACATCTACGAACTACGCCAAGGAGGGGCGCGCCGAAAGGGACGCCGCGGGACGAGGACGATGCGGGACGACGGCGGCGACGGCGACGCAAAGGACGACGACGAAGCGTACGCTACGAGAACGGCGCCTATGCACCGTATCATGCTTTGGCTCCCTTCAGGCCCCGCTCCGACGCGGCACAGGTGAGCGTTTTTTGATTCTGCGTTTCGACATTGGGCGGCACGGGGGGAAGAGGAGGGGCTGGTCTGGCTCCAGTCCTCGCCTTAATGTGACTGTTTGTAAGAGTGCGGCCTCTGGGGGAGACTCCACCCGCTCGAAACAGGCGCCAAGAAACAGCCAAGATCTACTCTGGGGGAGGGAAGGAGGGAGGGGCCCGCGGCGATCGGCAAAACGAAATAAAAAACGATCACCAATGCATGCTTGTTCGGCTCTGGGGGCCGGTAAACTGTGCACCGTAACATTCCTGGGGCGAGGATCGACTACGCCTCGGGAAAGGCCAACGCGGTGCGGTGTGAACAAGTCGTCCGCGGATACGCCGAGAGAAGAAGCGCAGCTGGGGCGAGCACAGGGCGGGTGACGACCTCCTACGTAGGCCCTCTGGGCATGACGAAAAGAAATGACACCAACACCCTCGTCGTCGTCAGCTAGCATTAGGTCGGGCATGTCCCCCCCACAAGCGCATTTTGGACGAAAACAAAACAATAGTCAACCAATACGCAAACATATATTCAAAAATACTCAAAAAATCATCACCTGACTTTTTTGACAATATTTGAATATTCTCCTGTAGAGGGACAGACCCGACTTAAAGCTAGCAATGGTGGCGTGGATCAGAAGATAAAGCCGTACCAATACCGATACGCCCTCCCCTCGGCTTCGCATCTTTGGCGCTCCCCATAGGGCCCTCACCACCACAGCTGGACTCGCCTTGCAGTCTTGGTCAGGATGCAGCCTGGGAAAGATCCAGGGAATGGCTGTATGGGTGTATTTATATCCCCCGAGTGGTGGGGCTGGTTTTCGGCGTCTCGCTTGATGATTCTTCGATCTCCAACTCGGGGTTGCATCGTGCACCTCCTCGCTAAGAATAGCCTGGCTGGTCTGCGTCTGGGAAAGAAACAAGTGCCTTTCCAACCCGGAGCGCGTGAGAGAATCGGCAGATTGAAATCACAGGGGTGGTCTGATCAAAAGGCCGCCGCAACACCGTCACGAACTGCGCAATCACTCGGATTATGTTGGACGCTCTGCCTGTTAGGAAATGGGGGCATGCACGCATGACGAGAAGAGCACTGAGGCCGCGCCGCCTGCACACAAGTACCATTCTTCAGCTCCATGGTCACCGACTCGTTCACAAGTTTAGACAAAAACCTGATCACAATGGATGCTCACACACACACACACTTCTTCTATACGACAACCGCTCGCCTCGATGCTCCCTGTTGGTCCCCCTTCTCTACCAGCGTTTCCTCCCCTCCCGCTCTTCCTCAGCTTCCTCCTCTCCTTCCTCCTTCCGCCCCTATCCCTCCTCGTCCCCCTCCTCCACGCCTGCTGTTTGCTCGCCTGCTCCCGAGCTCTGAAACGCACCATTTGAGCTCTTCACTGGTTCATCACACTCTGGCTCGAACTGTCTCGCGCATACAATCCAATGCATTGTCGATATCGTCCCAATCGTCGTCATTGTCGGGTGCTCGTGCTCCCCCTCCTACTCCCCTGCTTCTCCCCTTCCGACCCCCTACTCGTGCTGGTCCCACTCATCCTCATTGTATATGATCGCATGCACTTCATCGCGTTGTTACCAATACACCTTGGTGACACAACCCATCTCGTCGGCTTCACATCCCCTCCTCGATCTGCCTTTGATTCAACTGTCCGGGTTGTCGAGAACCGATCCCGCTCATATTATGCATCTGTCTGCCTCGCTTGCTCTTCCCCTTCATGGTGCCGCAGAAACTACACCGAACTCCCTGATTCCTTGTTGCGACACTCCTACCACACGTTCTCCCACCTCTCTCCAAGAGCTCCCGCGAACATCGCCCCCCACATGAAATTCTCACCGCGTGCCCTTCCTTTCATGATAATACGCCAAGCAAACTAGACCACCCAGTGGGCAACAAATCTCACGGTGATTGACCCACCCATCTACTTACCACGGGTAGTCCGGTTTCAAGCAGAACGCTCCAACAATCCCCCCCAAAAGAACCCGAACACATTGCAAAAAACACTGTACGTCACGAAAATCCGAATCACGACTGGGTCCGCTACGTCTGAAGTGCGCCATAGAGTGTGCAAACCATACAAACCAAACCAAGTGTCGATCCGCTGGGCGTGGATTGCGTCAAAGTCTTGTAATTTCGACCGAATCCAGGATTTGCCCACTCTGGCACAATTGCGCCATGGAGTGCGCAAATCCAACCGAATCGCAATTTGGTTTTGATTTGTCCATGTTGCGCCATAGGTTACGGCCGCCCGGCCAAAATACGGTTTGGTTCTTTCGGTCCCCATTCTGACCTCGCCCCACCGTGAGACTTAAACAACATGTGCAAAGACACGGTGCTGCACGGCGTTGCTCTGCACGCGGCACGGCATGGCGCTGCCCAACCGAATCACAAGTCGGACCCAAGACACGTTCACGATTGGGCCGCCATAAAATGCACACGCCCGAGCCACAGTCAACTCTGCTTTGCCGAAAAAACACAACATTTTGCGCATAGCCGAAATACGGCTTGGTCCGCAACGCCTATAGTGCGTCGCGAAACGCAATCGTTTGGGCACGACCGGCCAAATCGCGGTTTGACCCGCTCTGCCTGAAGTGCGCCATGATTATGAATATGTGTGTGTCATAAATGTTATATATATATATGTATATAGATGTATATGTATATATATGTGTGTATATGTATATATATATATGTATATATATATGTATGTATGTATGTGTATTGTGCGTACGCCCGGATTACGGTTTGGTCCGCAAAGCCCTAGGTTGTGCCCCAAGCTTCGCCATAATTTGCGCATGCCCAGCCAACGCACTGCTTGCCCCTGCAGGCATGAGGGGTTTCACAACGGCTGGGGCAACACGTGGTCCAACAGCTTGCCCAAGCTTCGGCCCAACGTGAGGCCATATGGGCGTTTCCAAAACGCAAAAGGCGGCGGTGATTCGCCGTTAACTTTTTCGACCCGCTCGGTCTAAAATGCGTCATCGGGTGCGTGCGCCCGACCGGATCGCGGGCTGGTCCAGTATTCCCAGGCTGCGCCATGGGTTGCCCACGCCCAACGTCCGCTGTCTGAGTTGCGCCATGGCTAGACAGGCCAAGCCGAGTCACAGTTTGCCCGCCCCCTGTGAATATTTCAAAAACATGTGAAGAAGCCTTGCGCCGCTTGTGCTCATGAGCCACAAGAAAGCTATGTGTTTCGGGTTTCGCTGTTTTTACCTAACAGCGAAGACTGATAGGTTTCTACTGGTGCCAAAAGAAAGCATCTGATGACTCAGAAGGGAGGTCAGGGCGGCATCCGGACAGCGAGGGCCGGGCTCAGGGCCGGGCTCGTTTTAAGCAAACAGTCGCACACTTCGTGCTCTTCGACCTCCCATAACTCCATTCCCGGGCCACATTTTGAATGCCCGGAGCCAACTGTAGGCCACTTCGTGCTCTTCGACCTCCCATAACTCCATTCCCGGGCCACATTTTGAATGCCCGGAGCCAACTGTAGGCCACTTCGTGCTCTTCGACTTCCCAGAACTCCATTCCCGGGCCACATTTTGAATGCCCGGAGCCAACTGCAGGCCACTTCGTGACCTTGGACTTCCCAGAACACTATTCCCGGGCCACATTGTGGATGCCCGGAGCCAACTGTAGGCCACTTTGTGCTCTTGGAACTCCCAGAACACGATTCCCGTGCCACATTTTGAATGCCCGGAGCCAACTGTAAGCCACTTCGTGCTCTTCCACTTCCCAGAAATTCACTCCCGTGCCACATTTTGAATGCCCGGAGCCAACTGTACGCCACTTCGTGCTTTTCCACTTCCCAGACTTCCAAGACTCAACATCTTCATCATCATCATCATCGTCCCAATAGCCTTCTTGGCTACAGCCCTGCTTTCGAAGATTTCCTGTCAAAGGAACTGCGCAGCGCCTACTGCGCACCTTAATGCCAGGACATGCTGATAGTTCTCGATCTGGCGGCGGTGCTCCTGACCCTGCTGCATTGAACAGCGGTGCTCCTCAGCCTGCGGCAGGGAACAGCGCTGCTCCTCAGCGTGCTGCATTGAGCGGTCCTCTGCAAACGCTCGTCGAGCACGTGAAGCAGTTCGGCCGGATACCGAAGCGAAATAAAGGAACGTCCGAACAAGAACGGGCCGAAAACAAGTTGGCCAAACGTTTCTCGGACCATCGCGACCGCATCCCTAAAGACATTTTGCATGAACTGCGGGCCCTGGGCTGTGCTGATCAGCAGACGGAGACCGAGGAGCTCAAGCGGAAGCAGAAGACCGAGGAGCTCATGCAGCAAAAGCGAGACAAGACCGAGGAACTCATGCAGCAAGTGCGAGACCTCGGCCGCCACCCGAAAGAGCATGCCGGGCATAGCCTCGCAGAGCGGCAGCTGGCAGAGAAAGTCCAAGCACGGAAGGCCAACCAGTTCTCCCCGGAGCAGGACGCCGAGCTCCAGGCCTTCAAGCAAGCGGAGAGCGAAGCCACAACAAAGACTCGCATCGCGGAGGCGGAGGGCCTTCCAAACCCCATGGAAGGGTTCGCTGAGGAGGCGCAAAACAGGATCGACCAGGACCTGCTCATGCTCGAGAACGGCATCCGGACCAAGGCAATCCTGCGGCGCCTTGCCGCCTACAAGGAGCTTGTGTCCAGCCTTTCTGCGCAACACACGGAATTCGCGCAGCGGTACGCGGAGCGGGTGCGCAAGGCGTCGGCCGCCCCCGCGGGGAAGAGCTGCTACGTTCCCCGCGGCGAGGTGGAGGGGGACCAGCTGCGCGTCTTCTCCGACCGCCCCGTCATGACGGGGCCGCTCGCGTGCCAGCTCTGCGACTACGACTTTCTTACAGAGGAAGGCTTTGCGCGGCGCAAGCAGCAGGACCACGCGGGCGAGGCGGAATACCGCAAACGGGTGCTGTTCCTGATGGCGGAGGCTAGCTGCAGGCAGATAGCCGCCCAGGAAAAGAGGCCCATGGTGCAGAATTTTGCTCACTTCCAACAGTTCTGTCACCCGGGCACCAAGGGCAACCGCTTCTCGGGCAACGAGGCAGTACACCGATGCGAGGCAGCCTGCGTAGTCTGTGCGCAGAAAGATTACCTCGAGCACCGCCACAAACTCAGCCTGTTTGGCGCAGTGCCGGAGGACCGTGTATCCGAGCACTGCGCGGGCCCTGCAAGCGACCAGGACGACTTGTCCGAGGGCGAGGCGAATGCGCGACCCGCGCGGACCCTGGTGAAGCACCGCGGGGTGTACTACTTGCAGTCCCCGGAGCTCGTGCAGAAGCTCCTGGACGTGGACAGGTACAGGCAGCGGTGGCCTTTGATCCCGTACGAACAGCTGCACGCGTCCAGCGTTCAGCATCCGGAGCACCCAGAGTGGCGGTGGCTGCTGCACTCCCGTTACACTGTTACCACTACTACCATCACTACTACTTCTACTGCTACTACTACTGTTACTATTACTGCTGCTGCTGCTGCTGCTGTTGCTGCTGCTAGTGTAGCTATTGCTACTGCAACTACTGGCAGTGCCACTGCGACTGCCGCTGATGTTGCCACTGCGACTGCCACTGCGAATCCGAATGCGACTGCGAGAACACCAGAATTCTACAACAACACTCTTACATGAATACCACAGGCAATGTTTCCAGCTATGCTTCTACACATCGCTGTTAGGTTGCTTTGCCGGGATAATTGTGGAAGTCGTCTTCGCGAGCACAAGCTAAAACAACAAACGATTCACCACACCATGATCAACATCACTCTCCGACCTCTGACGTCCAAGCACGTATACTTTCCAAGGGCAGCGACATGGCGCTACCATGTGCCCGCTCTGTGAGCAGAATCGTTGATTTGAATTGCGCTGCACGTCCAGTATGACTCTTCGTGTCTGCAACTGTGGGACAGAAACACGCTGCTTATCCAACCGTTGCGATCCAGCGCAATCCCACCAGCCCTCTAGGCATTAGAATGCGATCACTTCTATAGATCCTGGGGAGGATATTCACCCCTGCCCCTGCCCATTGCTTCCCCCACGACGTAATACTCGCAACGACGTGTCCATGCGGTTGTCGATTGAATGGTTGATTGTCCCAAGACGGCCCCAAACCGGGCCTAGATGTCCCTAAAGAGGCCCCCGAAAGGGCAAGGATGCCCCAAGTCGCCCCAAGATCGCTCACAGACGCCCAAGATGGCCTCAAGACTGCCGAAGAGCCCCCCGGGCCCTAAGATGCCAAAATCATTCATTCCCCAAACAGTGATTGCACTTAACGGTTCTCATTTCTTACAACTGGGCCCCAGTGCCGCCCGTCTTGGGGCTGTTCTGGACCGTCTTGGGATAGTATTGACGGTTTGAGACGTGCATCAAGCTCCCATGCCTTTGAAAAATAGGTTCTCCCCGGGTCCGCGAGCGGTTAGATCGTCCACGATAACGCCAGATGGCCAAATTTCAACCGGGATGGCCTCCGCCACGCGTCCAATACCCAGGAGAGCCAGAAGACAACCGTAGGCAACGACGGACCCCCCAAATGTACCAGCAGGGTACAAGCGTCATTGGACAACCATACATGTTTACAGCTACTCGGGCATTCCCACAGGTTTGCTTCGGATGGGCCTGTGATGCCTCAAGAAAAACCTGAACATGCCATCCAAAGTCCTCAATGGCGCCCACGCGAACCCAAAGAAAACCCAAACAAACGATGCGCTGGGCTTCGAGGGGGCGCTTAATGGAGCGCATCCGCTTGCGGGGCCGACTTCTCCAGGCCCGCCCCAGGAGGGTCTTGAAGGCTCCACACAAAATGTTCGAAATAGAAGTAATCACACCCCCGCACACACACAAACACATGCACAACATACGAACACACACGCACAACAACGCACACACACACACACACACACACACACGTTTGCACACACACACACACACACACACACACACACACACACACGCACACAGATGCACGCACGGACACGCTCACATACACACGAACACAGATTCACAAACATATTTTGGCCAGCGTGAAACCCCTGACCGTCTTTCCAGCCATTTATCACATGCAATTTATGTGATGCAGTTCGCCTTGCCGAACTTGACAATGTTAGCCCCACTGCTCGCGCAATCATCCCACCCGCCCACCCGCAACTTGGCTTGCAAAACCCACGCGGCGGCGATTGCGATGACTGTTCGGCACTGTCTGGCACATCGCCGCGGCCGCGCTGGCGCGCAACCTCGCGCACAGAGCGGCCGGCGCGATGGCGCTGGCCGTTGGGGAAATCCTAGCGCGTCTCGCAAGCCGCGCCGGCGCGCGGGCATTTCCGCGCGAGTCGGTGACTCGGACGGGCGCGGTATCAGGGCGACGGCAGACACGTTGACCGTAGTAGCGATGCCGTTGACGACGGCAATGGCACTGACGGCGCCGATGCTGATCACGCCGTTGACGATGATGGTGTCCTCGCGTCGGCGACGAAGGTTGCGAATCGGGTTTCGCCGCGCGCGAGTGCCCCGCGTGGCAGCACTTGACAGGGGTCGCGTTGCCCCCCTGGCCCAGCACGCGCGCAAAGTCGTTTGAACGATTTCGACGCGCGCGCACGCGAGAGGCCCATTTGGTCGAATACGTTGTTCCAATTGTTTTCGGCGCTGTGCGTTGAAATCCGCGCGGCGCGACAGGCTCCCAAAATTCCGGCGCGCGCGCGCGCGAGGACGCGCGCGCGTGCATTTCGCCCCGTTCTTCGCAGGGCTTCTCGCGACAGCGCGCGGACCAGGGCGTTCGACTGATGTCGGCGCGCGCTCGCGAGAGGACCGCTTGGTTGATGCTGATGGAAGCGGTGGGGAAGCAACGGGCTTCTTGAGACTCCGCAAGAGCGCGAACGCGCGTGTTGCTAGGGCAACTCCCGCGCGGAATCTCTTTTACATATGTATATATGTATGTAGATGTGCGCATCGATACTTAATGTGTATATATATATATGTGCGTGCGTGTATTAGGACATATGTGTATATATGTAAAGGTGTATGGTCGCGATTCATGGAACCGTTGAAACACCCCGGGCTTGCTGAAGAACTCGCAAGAATGCGAGCGCAAGCTCGTTGGACATCCTCGCTGCGAAACCATTTGTTGAATATTTGTTTGCGGGGGCTCGGCGTTGAAACCGGCGCGGCGCGCGCGCGGCGACGCGCGCGCGCGTTTCGCCTCGTTTTTCGCGGCGGTATCATTGCGACAGCGAGCGCGCAAGGGTGCTCGAATGATTCCGAGATGCGCGCGCGAGAGCTCCGCTGGTAGAGCGGGTGGGAGCGTTGAAAGAAAACGCATGGGATTCTGTGGAAGCCGGAAAAGCATGAGAGCGTGCATTTTTCTCTCTCGTGCAATGTCACCGCCACCCTCCCCCCCGGCGTTTGCGGGGCGCTCGGCATTGAAATCCCCGCGGGGCCCGGGGTTATTGAATGATTTTGCCGCGCGCGCGAGAGACCCAATCTGTCGCAGTCGATGGAACTTTCAAAACACGACCGTGGCTTGCTCGAGTACTCGCGAGAAAGCAGGCAATTTGTTGTTTTCGCGCGTCTGCGGGGCGCTCGACGTTGGCATCCGCGCGGCGCGATATAAGTGTCTGAAGATTCCGGATCGCGCGCGCGACGACGCGCGCGCGTGCGCCTAGCCCACTTGTTTGCCTTTTTTCCGGACAGCGCGCGCGGGGGGCCGTGGGGGATTCGCGGAGGGGTGGAACAGCCGCTGGTTTTCTCGCGAATTTGCAAGAGCGCGAGCGCGCGCGTTGCGGCGAAAACTGCCGCGCCGAAATCGCTGTCTGTTGCTCTTGATGTTTTCGGCGCGCCCGATTTTGACGCCCTCGTTAGCGCGGCGGTCTGTGAACAAAGATTCCGGCGCGCGCGCGCGACGGAGCGCGCGCGGAACGAAACATTTCTGATTAGCGAGCGCGCTCGCGAACTTTGTCCGCGGGGTGGCGGGGGGGTCGATGAGCGACTGCCCTGGCCTGTGCGAAATCAATTTGGCATGGGCGAGCGACCGGGACCATGCGCGATGAGCAACGCGAGAAGGTGACATGTTAAATCCTGGGGTTGGGGGCGGGGGGGATCCATTCGCTTCTCTGAAATGAACTATGCGGCGCTGCCTGCGCGGCGCGCAATTGATGCGGGGTCATATGCGTGGCGCAACGTTCGCGTTGCGATCGATGTTCCGAAGTCTATGTTGCGCGCGCTATGCTGCGCAATCGATATTGAACAATCTATAAAGCGCCATCAGCGCGGGGCGCTCCATCAATGTCGCGGCGCAGGTGCACTCTGCAAAACTGAGTTGCGTTCGCAATGAATTGTCGCCCACAGTGCACGCGCAATCGCCCCGCCCGGCCGCCGACCCGCAATTCGGTCAAACCCGCGCGCGGGCAATTGCGATGACTGCTCGGCGCTGGCCGGCGCAGCGCTGCGGCCGCGCTAACGCGCGCAACCTCGCGCGCAGGGCGTCCAGCTAGTCTGGCGCGACGGGCGCGGCCGCGGAGGCGCCGACCGTCGGGGGCGCCCGCGCGCGACTCGCATGCCGCGCCGACGCGCGGGCGCGCCAGCGCGAGTCGGTGACTCGAGCGGGCGCGGTATCATTGCGACGTCGGCGGCGGCAGACGCGAGGGTGGCATCGGCGATGTGGGCGGGGTGGCAATGATGTTTGCGAGGGCAATGGCTGCGCCGATGCTGATCGCGCCGATGACGATGATTCGCATTGCATGAACATGTAGAACAAGTCCATGGTTTTCTGAAGATTGAGCAAGAGCGCAGGCGTAACTTTTTTAGCTAAAAAACATATGTTTAAAAACAGCGTTGCGAAACTAGGTGATTATTTTTACACAGGCACCGCGGCCCCAGGACGCTGTGCCTCGCCCGAGAGCATTCGGCCCGAATCGGGGGACCACCAGCCGACCACGTCGGCGGGCCCCCAAGGGCGGCCCCTGACCGCGAGCCGCCCCCACCCGAAACGCTGGGGGGGGCGCCGAGCGCACCCCCTGGGCTCAGGCGCCAGATCGGGGCAACACAAGGGCAAGCTACACAGGGTGGCTAGTGGGAAGGGGCCTCAAGAGGCTACGTGTAGCAGGACGGCGATAGGCGCACCCACCCCCCTCGTATGAACATACACATGCGTGTATACGGCCATGCGTTTTTTGGGCAGGTGCTCCCTCGGCAACGGCCACTACGCTCAGACGCCCATCTAGACCCCCCGTTATGTTTCCGAGGACGAACACCGCGGCCCCAAGGACGCTGCGCCTCGCCCGGAAGCATTCGGCCCGAATCGGGGGGCCCCCAGCCGACCGCGTCGGCGGGCCCCCAAGGGCGGCCCCCGACCGCAAGCCGCCCTCGCCCGAAACGCTGGGGGGGCGCCGAGCGTAGTCCGATTCCCCTCGCGTTGGCCCGACGGGCCGCCCTGAAGCCCCCCCCCGTGGCTCCACATTGCACCCTGCTGGCCGTTAGGCTGGACCTATCAAGGTATGAAGCCCGGTCCCACCGACCGTTCCGCCTCACCCAGTCACCTGCGCCCTCTCTCAGGGCGATCGGGGCGAGGGTTGTCGAGGGTGGGTCGGGAGAGGGCCGCCGCCTCTCGCCTGCGAGAGGACTCTGAGAGGTGGGGCGAGTGAGAAGACGGTCTAGACCTGCTGCAACCTGGACCCATCCAGGGCACCGCCAACACCTGCGGCCACGACGTCCTGGGCGCGACCCCGCCACAGCTACGCCTCGCCAAGAGCGGGGGGGGCACCCATGCGGCCCGCGACGGGCCAGGGCCCCCAGGAACGACGCGGCGCGCCACGGGCCACCGTTGGCTTGCCCATGGGCGAGACAGGAAGCGGACCTCTGACGCCAGACCCGTGAGAAAAAAGGGGGAAGGCCGCCGCCTCTTTGCCTGCAGCCTGCACCCCGTTCAGGACTCCGCCAACGCCTGCGACCGCGGCGCCCCTGGGCCGACCCCGCAGCAGCTGCGCCAAGCCGAGAGCGAGGGGCCGCCGAATCGTCGCGCGGCGGCCCAGGGCCCCCACAGGGACGCCGTGGACCCCCCCAGGCCAACGCTGGCTTGCCCACGGGGTGCATCAGGAAGAGGACCTCGCGAGGCGGGGCGGGCGAAAAGGAGGCGCTGGGAAAAACGTGAGCGCTTTAACATAATAAAACAGGTGAGACTGCACTATGGCAGCTGGGAGAGACGCGCGGCGACGGGAACCCCATCGGACAAGCGTTTTTGCGCGCCACTGCGCCGGGCCCGCTCGCAGTTGGCCAGGTGCCCTCGACACGCGCACGGACTGCGAGGCTGCTGGCCCAACGCCTGCGTGCCAGGGCGAATTCTGTACTCTTGGCCCGCGCATCGGCAACTGCGCCAGTGGAACAGACGCTGGAGCTTGAGCTGCCCCACCAGCACTGCGCGGGCCCGCAACTGGCGTGGCGGCCGTCTGCTGAGCCTGCAACCCTCGTGCAAGCCGTGCATGACGAGCCGCGGCAGCTGGAGGGCGATCGGTGCCCCGATGACGACCGCCTCTGCCGCGTCGCGCCTCGCCGACCCCCCGGGCGAGGCGATGCGGAGGATAGCGCATTGGCTTGGCAGGCCGCGTCGCCCTTGCACAGCGCGAAGGCGGCACCGCCGCGCAGCAGGCCCTTGGAAGCAACCATCAGGAGGCGCTCGACACTGACCCCGCCCGCCTTCAGCGCCAGGCTAGCCATGGCCCTGACGATATCAGCGTCGGCGTCCTCGCCCCTTCGGCCCAGCGCTCGACGCCGCGGCGCACCGGCAGGCGGCCGACCACGGCGGGATTTTGATGCCTTGCCGCGGCACTCTCGCAGAGCAGAGGCGGCGACTAGGCCCGCAGGGCGCCCGGCCTCAGCCGAGCACGCGTTGCGCCCCCCCCCCCCCCCCCCCGCAGGCGCGGGGGCGGCAGCTTGGGCGGCCGGCCGCGGCGGCCCCGAACCTCGAGCCACGCCGCAATCTTCCTGTCGGTCCGTCGGCGGGGCTGTCCCCTGACACGGCGCAACTGATGACGACTGGGCCCATGTCGGCGGCGGCCGCGACCGCGCCCCCCCTGGCCAGCGCGGGCCCGGGGCGGCGGCTGCTGCCCCTGCCCTCCGCCATGATGGCCGCGACCATCTGGCTGTCGAAGAGATAGGGCCACCTGCCGCTGCGCCGACTCGCCGCGCGGGAGCGCCCCCGCAGCGCCGCCGCCGCCGCCGCCTGCAGCTCTGGGACGTATATGTGGACGCATTTGGCGGCAAGGCACGCCATGCTGAGCACCGCGCGCCACTGCGCCGCGAAGGGGTCGAGGCTGGACCGCGGCGCCCGCGCGGCCTGTACGTCGGTCCCGCTCTTCTCCGCCCGGGCCAGGCAGTGCAGCGCAATCCGTCGCGAGGCCAAGGTATCTGGGTCCCCTGGCTCGCTCTCGCACCGTCCGTTGGCGTTCTGCGACGGTCGGCGCCTGCCCCCATGCGCCAGCTCCTGCACCCCCAGCGGCCTGTTCAGCGCCTTCTCCTCTAGCAGCACCATCTGCGCCAGCAGTGCGACGACGTAGACGCCGATATGTGAACGAGTTTTCCTCGCGCCGTGCACGCGCCACCGCCGAGGCCTGCTGCGGCCCCCTCGGGGCCGAGGGAAACCCCGGCAGTGGCCTGCAGCGCGCCAGCCTCGGGGGCGCGCCTGGGGCGCCTGCCGGCGGGGCCTCTCGCCACGCCAAGCCCGCGCGCAGAGGGGGGGGCCCTCGGCGCGCGGTCCTTGCGGAGCTTGCCCCTCGCGACCACGGCGAGCGGGGCAGCGGCGGGCGGCTGCCAGCTCATCCTGCACGGCCGAACACGTCGGCGGGGCACGAGGACAGACGGGCACACGGGGAAAGGCTCGACGCCGAGGGCTCTGCTGATCCCCGCCGCGACGCTCGCGACGTGCTCGCAAACCACTTCAGCTCAAAACCGAATGCCGCCCTGAGGAACTCCAACGAGCGCGGCGCCTCGTAGGGCAAGCCGGACTCCGCGCCGTGCCGGCCCGCGCCCGCCGCGCTCAGCCTGGCCAGGTCCTGGCGGGGGCTGCCCGCGACCGCCGCGCAGGGGTCGACCCCGTCGCAGTAAGCGCCCCGCAGCGCGTGCGCGACAGCGGCCGTGATGCGCGCCACGTTGCCCCAACTGATCACGCATGGCCAGCACGGGCGCATCGCCCTGCGCGCCCTTGCGACCGCCTTCGCCGCGGCGCAGCCCATGGCCCGCGCGAGCGAGCGCGAGAAGGCCACCGCCAGACCCCCAATCCCGTCGAACAGGCCGACGAGGCGCACCATGGGCGCCCTCAAAGCCAAGGGCCGCGGGATGAGGGGGTGGGTGACCGCCCCGGGCCCTGAGGGCTCCGCGAGCAGCTGCAGCAGGCGAGCCCCCAATTGCATCTGCTCAACCAGCGTCGGGGCGCTGCTGAGGCTGGCCTCCGCTTTGGCTCGGAGGCCTACCGGCATGCTAACGCCACTGCCGAACGCGGCCGCGTCCGAAACCGTGACCGCGCCCGCGATCTTGGCTCGCAGCGAGGTCGCGACCGTCGGCGTCGCCAGCATGGCGGCCAGCAACGCCTCGGGCATCGCCGCCGAGTGCCTCCCGTTGCCGCGCTGCGAGCTCAAGCGCCAGACCCTGTTGAGCATGCTGCAGAGGGGCCTTTGGGGCTCAAAGGGCCTAGCGGAGCGCCCGGGGACCAACATCGCGAGCCGCCGCGGCTCAGCCTCGAGCCTGGAGGAGGCCAGGCACAGCGCGATCGCCCCGCGCGACTTGACCAAGGACGCGGTCAGGCGGTTCGACTCGCCGGCGCCGTCGGCCCCCATGAGCTCGACCACAAGCTGCCTGCAGTGAGCCTTCTCCGCCGAATAGGCGACGCCAGTCCTGTCATGGCCGGCCCCCGCTGTGATCTGGATCTCCGCCAGCGAGTCCATTAGGTGCCTGGCGTGCCCATTCTCTACGATCTCGGGCGCGTCGAAGTCGTCGTTGCGGAGCTGCCACCACGCTGGGTCTCCTTCCTCTGCAGCGGCGGCGACGGGCCGCGGCGCGCCCCTGTGCCATCCCGCCTGCGATGGCAGCCTCGCGCCCCGCGGCGGCGGCAGGCGGCGCAGCCGCCTGGGGGTGGGCTGACGCACCGGGGCCGCCAGAGACCTGCCTCTCGCGGTCACCGCAGACGCGCGGTACACTGCAAGCTCCTCCCGCTCGAAGAGCGAGCCCGCCAGCGGGCGCCCCGCCGCCGCGCGGCGGTGCCATGCGCGGGGCGCGCGCCTCACGAAGACGGCCACCTCCCTGTCGTCGCCCGACCACAGGAGCAGCTCCCCCTCGGGGATGCGCAGCGACACCGAGTTCGTTGATCCCGCAAGCACGGCCGCTCCCCCCACGAGGGGCTCGATGAGCGCGCTGCCCAGCACCGCGTTCAGGATGAGCCTCGTGGCGCGGCTGGCCCCAGGCCTCGGCGCGCGCCTCTCCTCGCCAGCGACCCTGTTCAGAAGAAGCTCGCCACGGACGTGGGCCAGCTCCTCGACGGGTGGCGCGGCGAAGACCCCGAGGTCCCCGAGGTGAACCGCCAGGGCCTCCCACGCGAACTGCGAGCCGACGCTAACCCGCGCCTTCGGGAGAGGGTCGGGCAAATCCGAGAACCAGCGCGGGGTCGGCCGGCCAGCGCACCACCGCGTCGTCGACGAGGCCGATCGTGCACAAGGTCGCCGCGCGCTCTTTCTGCGGCAGGCCAGAGGCCAGCGCCGCCAGGAGGCAGGGGGGGGCGCGCGCGCCCTCGGCCCCCCGTCGTAGCCCCCCAACGAGGTCGCGACCGCGTCGGCCGCAGGGGCGACGGCCACGGTCTCGAGAGGCTGCTGGGCAAGCTCCGCCGTCCGCGAGCGGATTGCCCGCGCGGCCGTCTCCCGCGCACGCGTCAGCGTCGCCCCGAGACGGAGCGATTCCCGAGCGACCCCGCAGCGCGGGTGGTTGAAGCCGAGCACGCCCATCATGAGGTTCCACGCCTCAGCCGCGACCACCGCGGCCACGGGTGTGAACCGACACCGCGGGCCCCTGGCGGTCTGGGCCCACCTCGCTACCTCCTCGAGGGGCGGGGGAGGCAGCGGCGGCAGATCCCGAGCTCGGGCCTTCGCACCACTACTCTCGAATGGGAGCACCTGTCCAGCGAGATGACCCAGGGTGCCAGGATGCGGCTGCGCGACCCCCTGCGAACTTGCCTGCCAGGATGGCTTGCTGCGTGGGCCGGCCACGCTCGGCGGGCAACCTCCCCCGCCACGCCATCATGCCCCCCCGCGCCCTGCCCAGCGGCAGCGACCCACGTAGCGTCGCCTCAGCCCTGACAGCGCAAGCCCCTGGCTCGGCCGTCTCGCCCAGGGGGGCGCCCAGCTCCATCGGCGGCATCACGTCGCCTGCCCCCGCGCCATGATGCTGTCCCCCGCTGGCGGCGCTCGGCGCTGCTACACTTTTGCCGCTTCCGCTGCGAGCAGGAGAAGTCTGGGCCGCGCCCGACAACGGCGCCTTGGGCAGGGCGACGCTCGCGCCTCGACCGGGCCGCTCCCTGGGCAGGGGCCCCCCTCTTCCTCAGCTCGGCCACGACGCTCGCAAGGCGAGCCTGGCGCCTCCTGCTCGAATTGCCCTCCTTCTTCGGGGTCGCTGCGCGGGCGGCGGCCCGCCCGCCCGCGCAGCTCCCCTGCTCTCCCGCGCGGCGCGGGGGGCCCTCGAGCCCTTCGCCGCGGCCAGCTCGTCCCCCGGCGCCGCCAGAGGCCGTGGCGGAGGGGCGGCCTGGCTCGCGCAGCTTGGCGGCCAACTCGTCCAACTTGAGCCCGCCCGCCTGGGCGCCCCTGATCACGCCCCTCTCCTCGCCCCACAGCGCGGTGGGCTCGCCGCGCGGGGGGGCGGGCCCCGTCCGCTCCGCCTCCGACCGGCTCCCGCCGCGGGGCGCGACTCGGAGCGCATTGCACCGCTGCGCGGGCAGGTCCGCGATCCCCGCCGAGCGCCCCCGCGCCAGGAGGTCGAGCACCCCGGCGAGCGTCCGCAGCCCGAAGCATGCGGGCACGCCGACTTCTTCCACGGAGTGCTGCGGGAGGTGCGCCACGAGGAGCCACCGCAGCACGATCGCACCCTGCAAGTGGGCGGCGCTCTCCCCTTCCTGGGCGCGGAGGAAGCGCGCCAACTGGGCCATGCTCGCCTCGGCGAGGCGCCCAGGCACCGCGGTTGCCACCTTGCGGCAGCGAGTCCGCCTGGACATCGACCCGCGCGGGATCAGAGATCCGCCCGCGCCCGCGACGCCCTCCAGGCCCAGCTCCTCGCCGCTGCCCAGGCGCCCGCCCGGCAAACGCGCGAGGGCGCTCGCGGGGTCCTGCGCCGCGCGGGAGGTGCTTGCCGCGGCCGCCACGCCCTCGGTCGACTCCTGATCGGGCGGGCCGCGCGCGCCTCCCACGGTCGGCGGAGGTGCCGCCGGCGGCCTCTGCCCCCAGCGAGAGCTCTCCACGCCGCGCTCCGAAGGCACCTCCGTCAGCGGCCCCTTGACCTCGGGCCCCTCCTCGGCCGAAGGTGTAGCCCGCGCCGCGCCCTCGGCGGGAAGGGCGACGCCCTGGGCGCGGTTCCACCGCGCTGCGAAACGGCCCCTCGACTCCACCCGCCGCGAGCGCAGGGCGGCCCACCCCCTGGGCGCGAAGGGCCCCGCGTCCAGCTCGCCGAACAAGTCCTCGAACGGGTGGGTGCCCGCGGCGGGTGCCTCGGCAAGCCGAGCGATCCCAAACTGTGGCCCCAGGAGGCGTTGCGGCCACACCGCGCCTAGGTTGGCGACCCGATCCCGCAACCCGAGCTCGCCGCCGCCTCGGCCGCCAGCCGTGCCACCTCCGAGATGCAGACCAGATCCGCGCAGTACAGCGGCAGCACGGCCTCGCGCAGCAGCACGGGGCCTTCGCAGATGCGCAGGTGTGGCCTGAGCGAGTTCGCCCCGCGCTCGCCCGCGCACCGCACTCGCCAGCCCCCGTAGCTGTCGTCGCCCCAGAACAACCCGACGCGAGCGAACCCGCCGCAGCGCGAGTGCCGCAGACACGGCCACACGAACTAGCACTGCATCTCCAGGGCGCTGCAGTAGCCGACGTACGCGTACAGCATTCCGTCCACCAGCGCGATCATCTCCACGATCGCCACCGGGAGCTCGTCGGCACCTGCACCTGCAGCCGCCGCGGGGCGGGCCCGCTGGCCCGGGGAGGGGGCGTCGGCTAGGTCCCCTCCGTCGCTCCCGTCGCCCACGACCTCGGCATCGGGCCCCCGACGCCGTCGCGGTGAGGGCTGGACCCAGCGGCTCGCCGCCAGCGCCGCCTCCGCCGCCCCCTCAGCCGCGCGCGCCGCCGCCGCGGGGAGTGGGGGGAGGCGCCCTCGGCGGTCTCCCCTCCCGCGGCGCGATCCTGGTCGGGCTCCGCCTGATGTCGCCCGACCTCGCGCGCGCTGCTCTCGCAGAGTCCCCGAATGCGCCCTGGGCGCGGGGGCTGGCGGGGCTCTGCTGACGGCTCAAAGACCGGCCGGATCCCCGCCATGTCTCTCTCTCTCTCTCTCTTTCTCTCTCTTTCTGTCTCTTTTTGATTATCTCTCTCTCTTTCTCTCTTTTTTTTTTTCTCTCTCTCTCTCTCTCTCTTTCTCTCTCTTTCTTTCTCTCTCTCTTTCTCTCTCTTTTTCTTTTTTTCTCTGTTTGTTTCTCTCTCTCTCTCTCTCTCTCTATAAAATATATATATGTATTTATATATATATATATATATATATATATATATATATATATAGATATAGGTGTTTTCGTGGCTGTCCATTTTGAAATCCGAGCGGAAGCTCGGTTTGCCGAAGGATTTCGGCACGCACGTGGGACAGAGCGCGCGTGCGCAATTCTTCCCATTCTGGTGCAGGGGATTCTCGAAAAAATGGTGAGTGTTGATCAACGAGTGTGCGCGCACATATTTGTTGTAGAGGATGGGGGGGGGGGAGCGCTTGCCTGCCTGAGATGGCAGGGGTTCATGTTTCGGATGAGCGATGGGGCGAAATCGTACGTACATTGCAATGCGAAAAGGTGGCCCGTTAACCCTTGGGGGGAAGGGGTTTAGATCCCAATGCTCGCAATGCTCGCAATGTGTTGTCAAGTCTACAACTCGCGCAAACATCCCGCCCACCCGCCCGCAACTTGGTTTACAAAACCCATGCAACGGCAATTGCGATGAGTGTTCTGCGTTGGCTGGTGCATCTCTGCGGCCGCGCAAGCCCGCGCATGCTCGCGCGCGCAGCGGCCAGCTAGCGCGGCGCGAACGACGCCGCCGCGGCGGCGTTGGCCGCTGGGCACTTCCCACCGGGCACTTCGGTGCAAGTCGGCGACTCGGGCGGGCGCGGTATCACGGCGACGCCGACAACGGTAAACGCGACGATGAGAGCAAGGATGATGGTGACGATGGTGGCGATGACGACGGCAAGGCCAATCACG